CCTGATGGAGACCCGCTAGTGTTGGCGGTGAAACTGACTAATCTACTTCGACGCGCACTTCCCACTTTAGATGAAGAATCAGAAGCGCAGTTACTGTCTTCCCAATTCATCGAGAGTGTCCCAGACCACATTTCTCAGCGATTACAACTGGTTAACGCAACGCAGCCGATGGATATTAGCGAGCTGGCGAAGGTGACCAGACAGCTGCTGAGCACAACGGTAGCCGCTATAGACCAACCAAAACCAAACGAGTATGAGCAGAAAATTGAAGCATTGCAGCGGGAAGTGGCGGCGTTAAAGTTGGCTGATAGAAAAGACCGGTGTTTTGAATGCGGTAAGCCGGGACACTGGAGAAGATACTGCCCAGAAAGGCGGAAAAGAAAAAATTTCAGACGGTATAATGCTTGTTCTTTCTTTCGTATGAACCTAGATTTAGTGGGGGCTATTGAGAAAGGCGCTCTGTATTCGAAGTTGCGAGTGAATGATCGAGAAGTAGTATGTTTGATAGATACAGGGGCGGCCGTGTCGTTAATAGATAAGAATTTATGTAAGAGTGTTAGCCCGTGTTCATTGACAGTACAAACAGTAGGCGGGTATGTGTTGCGTATAACGGGTAGATCGAACTGTACGGTCGTTGTTGGTGGCTGCGAGGTGACGTTTCCTTTCATTGTTGTACCCGAACTACAGCGAACGATATTAGGAGCGGATTTTCTGCGTGAGATTGGTGCCATAATCGACACGCAAGCGAACGTGGTGGTCACGAAATACGGGCATATCAACATGTATGAGACCAGCGAGATAGCAGCGATTAAGCTGCCGACGGTACACAATGTGACAGAGTTAATTAGTAAATACGATCATCTGTTCACTGGAGATGGCGACCCATACGGTTATTGCGATAAGGTGAATCATGAAATTCCGTTAAGTGATCCGAAAGTAAGGTCATTTACAACGCGAAGAGTTCCATGTCATCTGGAAGGCGAAGTGGAGCGACAAGTGCAAGAGATGTTAAAAGATGACATTATTGAGGAAGCTGATAGCCCGTACAACTCTCCAGTGCTGTTAGTAAAAAAAGCGAATGGGAAGTATAGATTCTGTGTTGATTTTCGACAGTTAAACAGTATGACAGAGTTAAGACCGTGTGCCATGCCAACAGTGGTAGAAACTTTAGATCGCCTACAAGGCGCGAATGTGTTTTCGGTTCTCGATCTTCGCTCAGGATACTGGCAGATACCGATAAAACAAGGTGATAGAGATAAGACGGCTTTCATCGTGGGTCAGACACAATATCGATTTAAACGCATGCCGTTTGGACTAGCAGGTGCACCGTTTACGTTCAGACGACTGATGAAGCTATTACTTAGGAACTTGAAAAACGTGGAGGTTTATGGTGATGATCTCGTCATATACAGTCAAAACGAAAACGATCACGTCAACCATGTAGAAGCCGTGCTGCGACGCATCGAAGAGTTTGGACTACGCGTCAACAAAACCAAGTCCCAGATAGCCAAAAAGAATGTTACTCTGTTGGGACATAAAGTGGGAAATGGTGAGATTAAACCACTGCCGGAGAAAATTTTGACGATTAAAACGATTCCAGCCCCGAATTCAAAGAGAAAACTGAGACAATTCTTGGGTAGAGCAGCGTTTTATAGCCGCTTCGTGAAGAACTTCAATGAGATAGCAGCCCCTCTATACAGGCTACTAGGTGAGCCAAAGTTTGTTTGGTCGGAAGAATCGCAGAGGACATTCGACAGAATTAAACAGCTGCTCGACCACCAACAAATGACGCTAAAACTACCTGTGCCAGGAAGACAGTTCACAGTGTGCACAGATGCCAGTGACTACGCTATAGGTGCGGTCCTAAGACAGGACGAGGGAATCGTTGAGTATGCCAGTAGGGTTTTGACACTCGCAGAGAGAAAGTATTCAACGATAGAAAAAGAATGTTTAGCAATGGTATGGGCAGTCGACAAATGGAGACCTTATTTACTCGGCCGGCGGTTCCACATCGAAACTGATCATAAGCCGCTACAATTTTTGAAGACAGCGAGAGACCCACGGGGGAAGTTGTCACGGTGGATGTTGCGTCTTCAGGAGTACGATTTTACGATCTCACACGTTCCTGGAAGTGAAAATGTCTTGGCAGATTTGTTATCGAGACCAGAAGATGAGTCTGAGTTGCCCGAGGTCGCTTACGGAGTGCATGCAGTAGAACAAGACCCACTAAGACTTGCACGTAGGCAGAGGTTGGACGATACGCTGAATACAGTAATACAGGTGATCACCAACGGAATAGAAGTGGATCAAACTACGGCGAGTAAGGAGCTAACCACACTACTCAGACAGAGGGATCGACTCAGAGTGAATGCCTACGGGACTCTGACCTGGCGAGAGAACGACGGAAGCTGGCTGGCTGTCATACCTCAATCGTCGCGCCACGACATGATAGAAGAATGTCACCAGCTAGCGCATACAGGCGTGGCCAGAACGACCGATCTCCTAAGACAAAGTATGTACTGGCCAGGTATGAGAGAAGACGTAGCAAGATACGTACTTGGATGTCCACGGTGCCAGCTGATGAAAGGTGACCGGTGTATACGACCACCACTTCAGTCGATTCCAGTTACCGCGATAGGTGACTTGTGGTCCGTAGATGTCATGGGTCCATTTCCTCAGACATCCAATGGTAATCAGTACCTCTTGGTAATGACGGAACACGCGACACGATGGGTAGACGCCGTAGCAATCCCAGACCAACGTGCAAGAACCGTGACAGATGCAGTAGTTAGACACATTGTTGCAGACCACGGCGTACCGAAGACAATACTGACAGACCAAGGTCCCTGTTTCGAGAGTGAAGAGTTTACTTCCCGTTTGCAACAGCTGGGCATCAAGAGGATCAGAACGACCCCATACCATCCACAAACGAATGGCCTAACGGAGAGAAACAACCGTACACTGAAGGAGTGGCTGGCCTCGAAGGGCGGGAACTGGGAAACGGAGCTTCCACTGATTTTACTAACACATCGCGCTACCACTCAGGAAACAACGAAGAAGTCACCCTTCCAACTGATGTATGGTAGAAAACCACGATTTCCGGTACACAATGAGACCTGGCCCATGCACCAAAAGTGGAGTACGACGAAATTAAAAGCAGAGAGGAAAGAGGCAGTCAAGAATGTAATACGGAAGCAGCGCAGTGATGTCACGAAGTCTCAGATGAAAGAAAGGACGCAGTGCATTACCTTTGCAGTCGGGGACCAAGTGAAGTGTAGAGACAGGAGATATACAGTTGGAGGCGGGCTAGGTTCACGGAAACTCCTTCCAAAGTGGGAAGGACCATACACAATCACAAAAAGACGGGGTCAAGTATATACCATCCGAAGAGGTGATAAACAGAAACGAGTTAACGCCAGTCAGCTCCAAAGATGGGTACAGTGGGACAAGCCGGTCAGTAACAATCCTCAACTAGAGGATGTAGCACCCAGAAGGTCGGAACGTCTGCGCACGAAGCTATTTGACGGGGGGACGAGTGTGGTGAGAGCAGGCTGCTAGCCGATTGGTTGGCACTAATCTACGTTAAGGTCTAGGTCACTAATATGGGCCGTGAGAAAATATGAACAAGCCTGAGTCAACAACCAATCACAGCAAAGTTAACGTGGCAAAATATGATTCGCAGACCTAAAAAAATTTGTCAAGGAATCCCGAAACAACCAATCAGAAGCCTGCGTTTGTCTACCTAAACAACCAATCAGATGACTGCGCTTGTCTATAATAATGTAGTTGAAAGATGTATAAATACGTGTTGATTTTCATAATAAAACGATCTGTTGCTTCGCCCTTGTCTTCTGTTGTTACACTAGTACTTTTCAGAAACAGATTATATCAAACACCAGTGTCGTTAACTAGTAGTGGCGCAATGCTGCAAAGTAGGCAAGTTCAAAAAAAAGTGGAATGCTAGACTCAAACAACACACTAGGATACCGACATCCAAGTTGTAAGATGTGCTCTTCTTCTGTATTCCATACGAATTTATGGGCAAGGAGGATAAAACAAATGATAAATGCTCATTGATTTGCATTGTTCTTCGGACTGTCCATGATGTTGAATGGATTTGAGAAAAAGCCTATTTTGTAGACTGGATGAGCGATTCACCTAGTGTAAAAATCACTGAAATATAACCGTAACTTGATTACAAATATGATATATTGATTTCAGTCATAGATATAGTTCATTTATTATTATTATTATTATTATTATTATTGTTCCCTTGGGTTCCTAGTGGAACATAGAAATTCAACTTCACGTCTCTACTTGCTTCTGTCTTCCTTCTCCTGTACTTACTTTTCACCTGCATCCATCTTAGTCCATACTCTTTCAACTCCTCTTCAACTTCACACGATCTCCTCCATGTCATCCTTGCACTGACGTCCCACTCGCCGCCGCTTCCCTTTCGGCCTGGTTCCACTCGAGGGATGGCCTGACGCGCGCGCGATGTCACCCAGCGGCCTGGCCTCCTCAGCCACGAGTGTCCAATCCATGTCCACTTTCTCCTGCATATTTTTTTGGCTGGCGATTGGTTCTTGTTTTGTCTGTTCCCATAATTTGTATAATTCATTTAATTTAGAATAAGTACATCTTATACAATACAACGTCCCGTCTTAAATTAGGTCACACAGATAAGACATTGAATGAAAGAAAAAGTGATGTAATCTATGAATGAATTGGGTCATAACCATGCATATTATTCGGCAACACTCCACCATTCTGTTTTATGCTCGTGTGTGTGTGTGTGTGTGTGTGCACGCGCGTTTGTAGACGTGTATCACTCACACTAAACACCTTAAACTCAAACACATACAAACGCATACAGAAGAAAGAAAAATAGTAAACATGGCAACTACTCATCACAAAAGAATAAATAAATAGTTAGTAATAAAAAATAAGAAAATTTTCAAAAATCTACTGACTAGGAGAAAATATTATTTCTCCCTTACCTATTGAACAATCCGGACCCTTGAATCCGTTTACACAGTCACAGACACCTGCATCACAGACACCACGATTACTGCAGTCGTTTGGACAGCCCCGCTTCATCACTAATTGTTGGTTTCATTTTGAAAATAGAAGAGAAATGAAAAGAGAATGAAATATGAATAATTGGTCAACTACTATGTATGTTAAAGCTTATGGATAGAAAAGTAATAACATTAACTCGTCTGTCTATATATTAAGTCATTTTTAAACAATGAACACTGACAGCATAACTTTTGTCAGTGACCTAGCCTCCATTTTTGTTTTTACCAAAATACAATGTTGGCTGATTACCAAGTGATCAAAAGACAAGTTTGAGTTTTAGTCAGTTTACTACCACATACAACAATAACAAGAAGAAAGTGTTCGTCTGTGTGTGTGTGTGTGCGAGTGTATTTACAGGGTTAATTTTCAAAAATTTTAGGCGGAAATATTTTCTTAGTCTTTCTTTCACACAATTAATAGGATGAACATTGCTTACGCAAACAGTTATGCATGGAATTTTATCGTTATTTGTCATTTAATCGTTAATATATATATATATATATATATATATATAAACAAAATACCTCACATTTTACACAGAATATGTTCGGTGCAGTTTCTCTTTTGATTTTCACTTTAAGAAAAACACATTCATATGACTATAGATAGGTACTATGACTACTGAATAGATACGACTGTACAATAAACATTACACATCACTTTCATTTCTGCTCAGGTAGTGGTAGTGGTCATGACGCCAAAAGAAACAAATACGTTTGAAAATGTTTATCATAATAGACATATGATAGAAGACACTAAATAAAAGTTGCGATACATTCTCTACAATTACTAGTATTATAAAAAAATTACATCTCCAAGAGCTGATTTGTAGGGATTAGAATTGGATTTCAAGTTTGACACCCACGGATTGATATCAGTTAGAGAACCATTGAAATCCAGCACTGGAGTAGCGGACAGTTGTTTCATCCTAGTCCGGGAATCATTGGCAGTATGCACCCAATGGGGTTTCCTGAAGTGCTAGTGAGAGGAAGTGACCAGTTAAGTGTGAGGATTGATATCCCACCGATGACATTGGTTGGTGCCTGTCGCGCTTAACTCATCACGAATTAGTAGAAGCTAGAATTCATCGGCTGGTTGGCCATTGAGGAATCGGGTCCCAGTGATTGAATGCTTTACGAGCCAGCTTGACTTGTGACCGGAGGTCCTGGGCTCGAACCACAGTGAGTGGGGTAGTACCGAGGATTCCTTAACTAGGATGAGACAGCTGTCCAATACTCCGGTGCTGGTTTTCAATGGTTCTCTAACTGATATCAATCCGTGGTCAAAGTTGAAAAACATAAACATTACACTTTATAAAACCACGTGTAGACTAGCATGTAAATGAAGTGACCACGAATTCCCATAAAAACTTTTGGCTACATTATTACTAGTGGCAGTAATTATGTGGTGAGAGCAGACTGCTAGCCAAATTGGTAGACATTAATTCACGTCAATGTTTATGTCCCCAATATCGGTCGTAAAAAATGAGAACAAAGGCTTTGCGCAGGCGGATATAGTTAACATATAGATGATCTGATATTCAAGAAACAGCCATAAAGAGATGCAAGGTTAACTTTCTGTGAGAAACAACCAATCAGAAGACTGTGTATTTCTGCTAACAATAATCTATAATATGTACATGAAAATCTATAAATATGTGTTGATTTCCTAAATAAACGATCTGTTGTCTGGCCCTTGTCTTCTGTTATTATAAAGTGATCAGAGCAAAGTGGTGTTTACTTTAAATTTAAAAATGATGCAAATCAGATATCAACAGAAATGAAAAACGCCTATTCATAAATTCAAAGGTAATGAAATCAAAATAAATAACTGTGAAGGATGACAATCTCTCAGTTCATTCCCAAAATGGATGACAGGTTCATTGATAATTCCCAATGCCTTTATAGGTAACTATTGTTATGTCAAGAAAACTATTCACCTATCAACTGCATATTCATTCGACTTTCAGTAAACCATGTGACTATCTGCTGTTACCAATCTGAAATAACCGTCAGTGTCAAAATAGATGAGTCAATTACACAATTAGTTCTAATACTGACTGTTCTACAAATTTATGTGTGCACTGAAAATGCTGTATGTAATTCAGTGCTACTACTAGTGTAGATGCCTATTCTTCATACTGACAATTTAGAAGTGATTCTAGGCAAATGGATTATTTATTCAAGTGTTATAAGTCAAAATAACGGGGTGCTAGAAAGATGTCATTCAGAATAATCAACATTTTGATAAGAAATACTTCTTATGCGAACCAAAACTTCTTAAATGCTGTTAGAATAATAGAATAGAAGAACCTGTTTTTCACAATGGTGTTTGTGCATCTAAATTATTAGTAGCGGGTCTTATCAAAAGGTGTTAGAGAACATTATCCGGGATGGCTGAGAAAAGGAGGCACTGGTTCAATCAAGGGTGCAATAAAACCTTGTCAACACCTGTCACATCATCTCAAATGTGAGTCATCTTTCGGAGTTATTTGCAAAGTAAACAAAAATCTACCAAAGGCAGTGTGTTTCCGACTTCTTTGTACTACAGAAGCCCTTGCCCTATCTCTCGGATAACCGCAGCTGTGTGTTCAAAAGAAACTGGTTAAACGCCCACATTTAGCACGGACCTAACTTGGTTGGTCTCCGTTGATTTCGTTTTTTCATCCCCTTCATATCCTTTTTTTCAGTTTTAAAATTATTCATCCAACTTATTATTATGCTCATTCCATTCACACCTTTAGTTGCTAAAAACTATTTTCTGGTTCTGTGTATTTTGTTTCCAAGCCCCTTGTAATCTATACTCACACCTTCAAATTTCCATATCAATTTAAAATTACAATTTAATTTCTCCAGTTGTCAAATATTGATTATACATACATTATAACTGGTTTTTTTTATTTCATGGTGGATTTCATCATGAGCTGACATTGGTTTCAGAACCACTGGAAAACCTGGGAGTACTGGACAATTGTTTCGTCCTAGTTTGGGACTCTTCAACAGTACGCATTCACCACAGGGGGTTCGAACCCAGGACCTTCTGTTTACAAGGCGACCTAGCTCGTAGACCATTGAGCCACTGAGACTCGATCCAATGGTCCTTGAATTCTAATTTCTACCAATGCTTCCATGCAATCAAACAAAATCCCTACAAAACTGTTTTTTTTATCATATGTAATCTTGTCTCCAAGTCCTTATGATCTATATCCATTCACACATTTAAACTTCCACATCAGGTTGAAATCTATTATAATCTTAAATCATCTTCGTTACTACGGGAGTTAAACGAATAACAATTGTATCTATGTAAAATTATGCATATAAATGCGATTTGTACAGCTTTTGAAAATGAAATCGTCGAAAAGATATATTTACTGAACTTCTTGTTCGTTTTTACCCTCTAATGTTCCATGAATTAATACCACTGTCAAAAAGTGAATCTGCATTTCATTCGGCATACATACGGTTAATTGATTTGATTACTTTACTTATCGACACATTGTCTGTTTACCACTCCTTCTTTCTCGCCTCTTTCTATCTCTCTCTCTCTCTCTTTCTCTTTCATTGATGAGAAAATTGGCAGACGAACAAGTCTGCAAGTCATTTTTATGCTTATATTTGGAAAAAGCAGGGGATAAGCATACGCAGAAACAGAAAAATAAACACCCTTCTTTCATTCATGCATATATATATATCCTTCCCACTTCCTTTCTTTCTGTCCATCAATATTTGTCTATTCACCTATTCATTTATTCACTATCAGTTAGAGACAGCTGTAACACTTCTCACTACAGATATTACTCTGAAGTATCAATTAGCAGATTACTGTTAACATTAATATTGACGGTGTAGACATATATACACATATATATGATGCTTTGATTCAGACTAAACAACTGCCCTTACTCATACACACGAACAGGATAAAACAGCAGCAACACATGGTAGACTACAAATTTACGAGTTAAAGTAATCTAACAGGTTTCGCAAAACATAAAGAGAGTATTCAAACGACATCCAAAAATATGAATTAATCAGCGAGAAATACAAAACAACTAATTTTAGAATAAAACAACTATAGATTTGGTTCGCGTAAAAGATGAGCATCAAGGTAGTTACTACAGGACCAGCGCGAGAATACTAGAATATAGATGCATGTGTCTATATATAGGCAGCTAACAAGTGTACAATTTCGTTAACTAGCTATATCTGCTGAACCTCGCCAAGGTTACAAACTCGCTAGTTTTCTAGCCGGTACCAAGCCCGGATAAAGAGGAAGGCTTGGGGCGTGGTGCTAGCAACTCCACCCCCAAAACTCAACTAAATTGCTACAAAAACTTCAACGAACAAATATATTAAAAATACTAAAAATATAAACAATAACGTTATTTCTACAGACAACTACAAATAGTAATGGACAATGTCCCAAATGGCGATATCAAAATCCTGATGGGTGATATGAATGCTAAACTGGGAGGAGAAAATACAGGAAGACAACTCACCATGAATCGCGAGGCCCTCGGTGAAACGAACGACAATGGGGAACTCTTCTCAGACTTCTGCGCCTTCAATGATTTGGTGATTGGTGGTAGTGTGTTCAAACACAAGGATATACAACACAAGGTGACATGGATTTCACCAGTTGGAAACACCAAGAACCAAATAGACTTCATTTCAATCTCAAGGAAGTGGATTTCGCGGATGATTTATGTTTGATGTCACACGAAATCGAAGACTTACAAGCGAAAACCGACAAACTGGTCGAAGAAGCAGACAGTGAAGACAGGACTCCACGTGAACATAGACAAGACGGAAGTTATGAAAATAACCAACCACCACCACCAGCAACAACAGCACCAACATCCAGCGCCAATCACCACCAACCGGAAGGATCTGAAAGAGGTAACTTCATTCACTCACTTATCTAGGGAGCATTGTCTCAACTACAGGCAGTCGGAACGGACGAGGATGCCAAATCGAGCGAGAATCGGGAAGGCGAGAAACACATTCATCAACCTGAA